AATAAAATAAATTAAAATGTATAGCGCATAGCTTTTTGTTAATTACATTAGCTATTGCTGTGTAAAAATCTCAAAAGTGACAGTTCCTCTTTAATGGTAAACACAAAAAACTGCAATACTAGAAGATGGTATTTTAATGATCAATTCCGTCAATGAGTAAGGAAGGTGGATTTCACTGCCCTAGGGGGTAAGGATGTCAGGTCCATTTTCCACAGCATGTGTTCTCGCACCAGAGCGGCTGAACATCAAGCTCAGTGAGAGCGCACCCCTCCCTCTGCTTCTACTTTACACTGGACTGAGACACATGGAGCCAAGCTGCCTGTGCAGTTGTTGAAGTCCTTCCAACAGATATCAGAATACATATGGGTTTTACAGTGATGTTCACTTGTCTTCATATGCTGCTATGTAATATGTACTGTATATATATATAAAATCATTTTGAAAACTGTATAAGAAAATAAATATTTGGCTCAAAAATCTTTATATGTTTAAAAGAAGTACAAAGGCAAAGGTTTACATGTGTACATCTTTGCAGAAGTGAACAAGACACAAAAATAAAAATCTACCTATTCCCTATAGTTGTCTAGACCACGGGTAGGCAACCTTTGGCACTCCAGATGTTTTGGACTACATCTCCCATAATGCTCGTACAGCTATAATGCTTGCAAAGCATCAAGGGAGTTGTAGTCCACAACATCTTCGGGTGTCGAAGGTTTCCTATCCCTGGCCTAGACCATATACTTGTCAGCCATCATTCTGGCTGATACCCAGGGGGTTTTCTGGTAAATTGGATTCAATGTGAATATAATATTCCTGCATCACTAACCCTGTGAAGATTGCACTAATGTCAGTTGTTTGTAGAATCATCTATAGAGATCTCTTCTGTATGCTTGTGCATGCTCACAAATACAAACAACAGCATGAGGTGTACTATCACTCTTGGGCAAGCAATAATTCTGGAAGGTGCAAACAGAAGGTGGAGGAACTAAGTGCAGTGGAGTTTGAAGTACATTTTACACCCTCATTGGTTCAACTATTTACAAGACAGGTCACCAAAGTTTGCTGAATATAAAACATACACAAGAGTGAAAGGTCCACTTTAAGATGAAACTGTAATGTCCTGGACATAAGAAAAGCAGAAACAGAAAGTTCACAGTGAAAGAGCCTGTGGCACTTTGTAATTAGGGGTTCGTCAGCTAGGAATTTGAATGAACTGTTTGCTGATGGAAGCCCTGGTTATTCACACCTATGGATGCATTAATTTTGCTCAAGACAATTCAGCTTGTATAAGCCTTCTTGGACAGGCAATTGTAGATTGTGTCTGATTAACTTCCTAAGAATGGAAATTGAGATACTAAGTATATTCTCTAACTCTTCATCGTAGTGTATATGAAATACGAAGAAATCAGCAAGGCTTTAAAGATTTAAATAATTGCTATATTCGTTTGGGTCTATCGAGAATAGAACACAAGGATATTTGCTATTCTTTATTTTTTAATCACATATTTGCTCTGTAAATAGAATTATTTCATCCAACTTATTTGTCATTATTGTTTTAACATACAAGGGATTTGAGGTTTAACAAGTAAGGAATGTTTATCTAACTATAACTTTATTTGCTTTCTGACATAAACCCCTTAAAGTACTTGGGATGTTTCAAGCTATACATACCGGTCAAGGTCTAATGCAGGAACTTGCCCAAAATCTGAGGCAGTCTCCCAGGATACAAACAGCAGTCAGAGGGGTCACATGATTTCGGTGATAACCAGTTGCAAACATTATCAATGTCAGAAACTGCCTCTCTATTTAACCTCTGATCTGACATGATAGAGGCCTAGATCAGTGATACAAAGTTTCTGAAGCTTAAAAGACTAAATTTTGATGGTTAAAATTCTTTCATTGCTGATCACATTGTCTAATTACTCAAATTTTACATTTTAGTATTTTTGGGGAGATTCTTTTGTTTTTGTTTTTTAAACTTTCAACTTTGTTTTTATTGCAATGCCTTTTTTAAGATTTCAATCATTTTCTGCTGTTTTTGATTACTTTGACTGCTATCAGTCTAATAAGTAAAATCATATTGGTTTTTTTCTCATACTTTTTTTGTGATTTAGAAAAAAAAATTACTTTTAACCCTTTTAACTCTTTCAGTGCTAAAACATGCATTTTATATTGTGCTGACTGATTCATTAAACACTCGTACTCTGATTTTATTTGTAGGTTTAAAAGTTAGTTGGGTGGAAGTGAAAATTGGGGTTTGCGCTGAAGGATTAAGTGTTGGGTAGGTGTTAAAAATTAAAATGAAGTATAATTTATTTGGGCTTTTGCTACTATACTACAGTTGAAACCTACACCATTGTTCCTTGTGATTCAGAGAGTGACCCCCTTTCTTTATCCTGATAGTGAAAGACTAACCGTCTCCCACACGGTGACTCTTAGTGAGTCTTCGGGTGACAGCACAAACTGCATACCACCATAAAAATGGAGGCGCAACAAGCCAACAGCTACCATTGATGAAATTTGAGTACCTACAACTGAATGGTCCCTGAAACACCCCCATTCACAGCAACTACCATTTTAATTTCTACGTCAATATATTATGTAAACTTGCTCCTGACAGACAGCATGTTTGAGCAATGGTTACTCAAGAAAATGAATATCCATGTATACAGCCAATGCCTGTCAATTATCCAGAATTAAAACTAACGTAAAAAAACCAACACCTGGCACAAAACTGACCTTATGGAAATGAAAATGTTTGGGCATTGACCTTGGGAATGGGAATTAAAAAAAAAAAAACCGTTTCATTCTCTAGGAAAAAGCATCTCATACTGTATACCCCTCTTTTTTCTAGCAAGTATAATGTTCTGTATTTTAATGATAATTCCCAGTGCCAGTGAAAATGATCCCTGTGTACAATAGTATATATAAGATATAGCCCCATATAAAGTATCTGTTTCAAAGGTTTTCTGAAAATTGTGCCTCAGTACAAAACATGTACACCAGCAAACAAAACAGGAGACAGAGCTTAAATCTATTCAAATAAATCACCAAGGGAAGCTCTTTAAGCAGTATGTTCCATAAATGCTTCCACACTATGGAATACCATTTTATAACTTGTGTGTGTATTTGTTTATAAATTTACTCTGTTTCGAAATGCTAGTCTGTGGCACAGAGCGCAAAAAATAATACAGGATGGCCCCATAAAGTGGCAGGTGGCAAAAACACGCGACGGACCACAGCTTGTGCCATGATAAACTGCTAACCCTTCGGTACAGTGACAAAAAGAAAAATTCACATGATGTACAATTTGCATAATGAAAGGAATCTGCCAGTTTCTGTTAAGGTGTCGAATGAAAACTCATAAAACCAAAGTACAACCAAAGTTGAGTTTAGCTAATCCATTGGGATAGTGTATGTAACTGAACAGTGCATTCACCCATACCTTGTTCACCAAAAGTCAAGAACACAGAGTTTCTATATATATAATAGAGCTTGCATTCTATCAATTGTATGTTCTGTACAAACAAATCACACACAGAAAAGCCATACGTTTCATTTACACTAAAAACGTTTATCTGATATTTTATTTTCTCAGCCTCCTAAACCTAGAAGTTTAAATCAGATAAAGTGCAGAGAATTACAGAATGCATTTTCCAGTGTAGGATCCCCATAAAGTTTGAAAAAGGTCACACCAAAAAAAGTATAGTCTGCTACAAAAAAAAAAAAGAAGAAGTTAGGAGAGAGTTTATCATTGCCCTGTCTGCCCATCTCTGCTTGGCCTTTATATTACAGGCCACTTTAGAATATTCCAAACACAGCTAAACTATTAACAGTAAAATTACCTTGACTTCACCTGATTATTCTGTCTGCTGCCTACTCTGACAATCCTGACTTCTGGATCCCCTGACTTTGGTCAATGCTTATGTCAAACCCAACTCCTCTAAGCATATGATAAGTGGCTACACAAAAAGACTTGAAATATATGAATTAGATTTTCTACTTTTGCAAATGGCATGCCATCACAAAGGCCATTTCCATTCTTCGGCTGCCATACTCTCTCAAAGGCAACAAATGCCCAGCAACCTCTGTTAAAATTACTTGTGTGAAAACTAAAATTGGCATGCATATGTTTTTGGCTCTGTATTTTCTTTCAACAAATCTCAGAAAACAAGTACATTGTGGGGGGAGGGAGCAAGGGGGTCGTCAGTGTTGTACTCGTACAGCATTGCAGAATACAAATTTGGGTGATACATTGCAGTAAAACTTAGGATGTGTAATGTGTGTTTGAAAAATCCAATACAAAATTATGACCACTGATTATTTCAGGATTCATGATAAAAGGGCTACACAAAACTACTCCAAATACTCAATTAAAATACCCTATCTTACCTACTTTTGCAAATGGTATGCCATAATAGGAATATGCCCAGCAAACCAATATAACACATTTTCATGTACTATAAATCGAAAAGAAAAGACCCCATATGTGGCCCTGTAAATGGCAAACACTCCAGATTACCAGTATATAGGGGGAGGTGGGGGTGACGACGGGGCAACTCATTGCTGAATACAAATATGGGTGTTTGTAGAAAAGCTTACAAGGATTAAAACATTTGCAGTGAGAAAGCAATGCTGAATCTGTGTCCTTAAAAAAACCAAAAACGTTATACTTTTCACACTTATGTACATTTTATTCATATGAAGCTGGACAATTTCCTTAGTCATTAAGGGGTTAAAAAAGAGTGAATCACAAAAGTTATGCATAGTGTGGAAAGTGTGTGCCCTATACACTTTTAAAAGTATATGAAATCTTTTGACAAGCAAAATAGTGTGGGATGTTTTGCTTTGAAGTAATCTTCACACCCTTCTAGTATTCAGTGGGTTAATAGGCATTCATAAAGTGACATTTCTCATTGTTTTTGAATAGAGGTCTTAAAACACTTCTCTTCACTAGTTCAGCATGCTCTATGTAGTGACAGTTTCAGCTTGTGGATGAGCTGGAGGTGGTGATGTAATAGGTAGCAAGCAGATGGATATAAATATCGCGGCAAGGGGTAATGTACTATGGCTGAGCTGTTGGAGAAGATCAACACATCAGACAGGTCCACAGAAGCTAACGACAAGTTGAGATCAAGTTCGAATAAACTTTCCTTGAGTCAAGCCCCTTTTACAGAAGTCTCCATGCAAGCAAAGAGAACAGACCACACCTCCTTTTGCAGCTAAGCAGTTGGTTTCTTTGATCTAAGTATATGTGGAGAAGGAGTTGAGGTATTTTTAGAGCAATTGACTCCTTAAACCACGTGTGCCCACGTTGATCAGGATGACTGTTCAATCTGCTCTTGTGCCAATCCTGCTTCTGGGGCTTGTTTCGGGTTTGGTGCATTGCATTTCGCTCTCTGGGACCCAGCGAAATGAAACCCTTGATCACCGTTGGGAGACACTCTTCTCCAGATCCATGGCAAGGATCCCAAGGGAGAGAAAAGACATGAATCGGGAAACTGACTATTTGCTGGGCATCAAGAGGCTGCGTCGTCTTTACTGCAATGTGGGCATCGGGTTTCATATCCAGGTTTTACCAGATGGCAGAATAAATGGGATGCACAATGAAAATCGATACAGTAAGTATTCAATTTTGCAAAATGTAGGTGTTTTTGGTGTTTGTTTTTTTTAAACACTGTTATATATATTGAACAAACAAATCTGACATTGAATTCTACTGGGAGGTCGGGGACTCCCTTTTATTAGTTATATACTGGCATGTTCATATACATACATTTGTTTGCTATTGCAAGATATGTTAAAAGACATATGTAATAAGGTTTATATGGAATAATCTAGATTCCACAGATAACACAATTTCTTAGATACAAGGGTTATCATTTAAACTTTACGTTTATGCTTAAAAGCCTCCTAGAAATAAGTGCAGCAACATTTTTGTTCATTTTCTATTTTTTCTTGCTGTACTACATAGATGTATTTGTCAAAAGTGATGTGAAAGCCTTTTAGCTCAAGTTAAAGTTTATCATGCCAATTAAATGAAGCTGTGACAGTGGCAGAATTCTGTTCTGCTTGATAGGACAAGCAGTTTGTATTGATGGATTAGCGTCCTTGAAATTGTGATCTTTTCTTGTTTGTTTAATAAAGCTTTGATTAAAACAATGCAGGAGATCATTTTAAACCTCTTGTTGAAGCAATAATTATTTAGATTGTTTTCAAGTGGTTCTCATAAGGGCTTATTGGAAGGGATGATTATTTTTAATACAGTACCCCTTATTTAAACAGGGTTATTTTTGACTGGTCATTTAAAAAAAAAAAAAAAAAAAAATTACTTTCTGCCCTTGGTTACAGTTCCATATTTTCTAATTAAATCATGCTCATAAATAAAGATGTAAATTGTGAAAACAACATGTCTTTCAGATTTTGGTATGATACCTTACATTTTGTAAATAGTTTTTAAACTCACCACAGCTAAGCTAACGATTAAACCCTGTAGTCGCCTCTATTATAAATACACTATAAAATAGATTTTAACATATATGTAGCTTTTTTTTAAATTAGGGTATGTTGATATTTCTGCAAACTATGTGTTTTATCGGTGCTATGCTTAATCTGCATCCATGCACATCAATTTACAACAGTAAAATATCCTTTAACCCCTTAAGGACACATGACATGTGTGACATGTCATGATTCCCTTTTATTCCAGAAGTTTGGTCCTTAAGGGGTTAAATCTGGATATCCGACAGAAAAGCATTTGTTAGTGATTTAACCCCTCGCCCTATAGCGCTACTTGACCCACAACTGAAACAAGAAGATTTAGCCTTAGACACTACAATGACAAACGCCATAGCAAGTCAACCTGAACTGACTTAAACTAAAGAAAAGGAAACAAAATGTAAAAAACTGCAACAGAGTAGTAAAAAGAGTATCAAGCAAAGAGGATAATTAATTTAAGGGTTTAAAATGTTTAACCCCTACAAGTTGCTGAAGAAGTTATCCAAGAGATTAAAATCCTGTAGCCCTGAAAGTAGTGATGCTGGCTATCTTTGTAGTGTTGATTACTGAGGTCACATTTTAGGACATATATGGTTGATACCTGTGCTGCATCACCATGTCTTATACATAGTACAAATAGTCTGTGTCATGACAAACAGGCAATGTGACATCACAACCCTGCAGAGAATGGCTAACAGGAAAGAGTAATACATATTGCAACTGGAAGCTGAACGCTACACAATTGTACACATTTCACCTGTCTTGTATTTATTAAATCAGCCCAAATGTATGAAATGTTTAGTGTAAACCAACTTATGTGCACTAAAAGAAAACTAAATGTTTATGCTTCTTGTAGTTAAATGTGATACATCCTGCATCAAACAAATGATAGATAATTCTGATTTAGTTATTTCAAACACAGCTGCATTACAAATAAGTGTTTTGTTTTTCGAATAGATATATTATTTTGTAACCAAATTAAGTTATTTCAATGCTTTCATATTAAAACACACCAGTGGTGAATATAGAGACATGGTTATTCAGGAAAAGTGTGAATTGTTCCCACTTCAAAGTCAATTCAATGTTAATTTAAAATTTTATACAAATTGAAATTCACTTTGAATTCCTAACAATTCACACTTTTATGAAAAAGAAAATAACATATAAATAGCGAGTGATGTCCTATCAATTTGATGGATTGCTTTTTAAAAACTAAGGACTATTTGAACACTATTTAATATGATAAAAAAACGGTTTGTGTTATAAAAGTGATCTTTGCATTTTAGGTTTGCTTGAAATTTCACCAGTGGAAGTAGGAGTAGTAAGCCTGTATGGTGTTAAAAGTGGACTTTTTGTAGCCATGAACGGAAAAGGAAAACTATATGGATCTGTAAGTAACACTTGATATCTACCTGTCAATATAATGCTTTTAAAATGATGCAGTCAAAACAGTTACTTAACCCCTTACGGACCAAACTTCTGGAATAAAAGGGAATCATGACATGTCACACATGTCATGTGTCCATAAGGGGTTAAAGTGAAATGGGTGTAGATCATGTATGCTCTGCAAATAAATGGACTCTCAAGTGTTTGTCCCTTTCAATTGATAGCATTATAGTGTTCAAAATAAAACAATAATCCACATCAGCCCTGGTGATACCTATTAATTTGATGTTTCCTACAGGTACTGCACTTACCTACTCCATTGTGCACCTTGTTTGTGTGAGTAGTTAGAGCAATCCTAAATTCAGAGAAGTCTGGTTGAGAATGATGGAAGTTATCTTGAAAGTTATCTTGAAAGCCTGCCTGACCATAAGTCCTCCTAACTCTAAACATCTCGCAAACAGAGATTTAATAACACTATGCTGTTTTTAATGCACATCAACATTTTCAAAGTAAATCCAAAGTTCTCCCCTCCATCGCAAATAAGTCATGACATACTGTTATACAAGTTCTAAAATGTCTGTAAAATGTACATATGTTATATAATTTACATAATACACCCCCTCTTTAATTTTAATCATAATGCTTTATGTAAAAAGTGAGTTAACAATTGCCAAGTTAATAGATTTAAATCTAAAATGCTACAGGCTATGAAAACAAATGTAAACAAAGGCTAAACGGAGTGACAAGGCACACAAATATAATGCAAGCATTTCCCTGGCAGAGATCTGAAACTACATATAGTATACATAGCAATGTGGGACTGGCAATGTGCTGTGCTACATTGTATAAAGGGATTTTTAGCAAGCTACAGATCGCATGCTTTGAAGTGCATACCATTCTTTGCATTGTGAGTGAAGACATTTAATTAAAGCCTTCTCCGCTGTAAAATCAAATCATTCCTCTTTGGACCACCCATGTAGCAAATCACACCTAACAGTGATGTCATCATTTAGCATTTATTTGCTGATCAATTAAATATATTTAATTATTTCTTTATAAAACCTTAAATATTAGTTTAGCATTCTATCCAATGCATGGATTTCCCAAGTCATAATATATTGTTTTTGCCTAAATATTACTGTCATAACATGCTTGGTATGACTGTGCCACCTGTGTAAAAATAGTTATTCCCTCTCTGCCATTTTACAGGAGTTAACAGATGCCATCTGATATATGTTTCACAAGGAAAAGGATATCAAAACATGCATTGCAGGTCACTTCCAGGTGTAGAGGAATTAAGATGTCACTGTTGCACATGGCAAAGTGATTATACCTGCCTTTTATCTACTTATAAATTGCATGTGAAATAATCCTACCGCCAATGCCTGGAGCTAATTGCTAGAACCATTGAAAGATTAAAATTATTCTAAGAGATGTAACTGACAACAGTGGTTCTTGTACAGGTGCAGTGAGGTGTATTTTTAATGTAATCTCTACTTTTGTTATGCTCAGATAGTCATCAAAGCTTTTCCCGGATTAACATCTGTTTCAAAATGTGGAACTTCAAACTTTACACTAAAATATTATCTAATTTAGCTAGGTCCACAGGCCTTAGGCAATGTATCTTGTATAAAAAGTGCTGGTCCTGCACATTCTGGATTCCATTAGAGGTCTAGAGTCCAGTAGCATTTTGTCTCTTAAAGGGACACTATAGGCACCCAGACCACTTTAGCTCATTGAAGTGGTTTTAGTGCTATATCTCAGTCCCCCTTAGTCCTGCAATGTAAATCATTTCAGAAACTGCAATAATTACATTGCAGAACAAAGACTGCCTCTAGTCGCTGTTAATCAGACAGCCACTAGAGGCACTTCCTGCTTGCTAGGCAACTTCTGATTGCCTAGCTGATGCTGGATGTCCTCACGCTCTGGATGAGGACATCCAGCATCAGTAAAATCTCCATTGGCATTAGCCCCCCATGTCTCTTATTGGATGACATAGGAGTAGGCAGATCAATGACCCAGCGCCGAGGGAGATCGGCATTGGAATCAGGTGAGTACAGCTTGCTGTTTTTTAAATCCGTTCAATGCCAGATGAGGCAATGGTGTGGGGGATGGCTGAGGCACCTATAGTTTATGGAATACAACTTTGTATTGCTTACACTATATAATACCTTTAATTTGGGGACTTACAAATATTTGAAGAGTTTATGAGTCAATCAGATATATTCATTGTTCAGTCTGATTTTTATTTAGGAGAAGAAAAATAGCTAGGGTCCCTAAAGAGCATTTAGCGGAACACTCCATAAGTAGTGAAATATTTTGACTTCTTAAATTGTTCCCTGACTCCACTACAGCTACAGGAGAGCTCTCTGAATATAAAAGCTTTTTTTCAGAGACTCTGTTTCTGCGCTAGGCCACGCAATGAAGGGCAAGGCACACTGACTGAGAATTATTAGCTGATGCTCTCCTGTAGTTGTAGTGGGGGCAGAGGGTGCCTCAGGTACGGTAAATAGTTAAATCACTCTAAAATAGTTTGACCGCTTACAATAGGAGGTGCAAGAGCACTCCTGGCACCATAATCACTACACCACACTGTGTTTCTTTTATTTTAAAATACCATAGATATTGGTGGTATGTCTGTTTCCTATCTAAGAATATTGGTTATACCATGCCTGTCCTCTATCCTGTGGCTCAGCTAATGCAGATATGACCTTGTCATTATCTGCTCAAATTTGAATAGCACAGATTGGATGAGAGTTCTAGGCTAATCCACTTCAAGCCCTTGCAGCCTGCAATTTCATCCAATATTGGACAGCTAAGGCAGAAGTTTACTAACACTTGAAGAGTGTCTGCACCATAATCACTACTAGCACTGGTTATAGGGTTATCATTTCCATTAAGACTGGAGTCAACTGTTCAGAGCCCTGAAGTGCATTAGTGGCATACTTTGGAGATCACAACACACCAATGTGCTATACGACATTAGTTGAAAACCATTGGTCTAATTAATATAGCAGTTCTCTTGAAAGATCCTCTAAACTTTTATCTTTCCTCTTTATAACATATTTTAACATGATTTGTAAGAGTTTTAGAAACTCTTACAAAGTTATCATTTCCATTAAGACTGGATGCAACTGTTCAGAGCCCTGAAGTGCATTAGTGGCATACTTTGGAGATCACAACACACCAATGTGCTATAGGATATAAGTTGAAAACCATTGGTCTAATTAATATAGCAGTTCTCTTTAAAGATCCTCTAAACTTTTATCTTTCCTCTTTATAACATATTTTAACATGATTTGTAAGAGTTTTAGAAATCATCCTTCATTGGCTTCCTGCCTCACCTTCATCTAGTAAAGGGGATTCTTTGACACAAATAGCTGCAACATAATAGATAGAATTACAGCTCACATAAAGGAAAGTCTCATCTACTTCTGTCAAACCACTTCAAACATTAGTGACTAGACATTTCCTTTTGAACTTAGTATATATTGGTGATGTCTGAACAGTGTTTAAGATCTGGATGAAATTGTCTGATAAGTGTTTGTTTTTAGAAAGGAACATATCTTCTGGGGTGTAAAAAAAAAACAGTAACCATTGAAAAAATCATATTTTAGCAATACCACAAAGCATGAATTGGCTCACATGTTTATTCACAAAAGGCTGAAATGTTGGGAATTCCAAGTGAATTTAAAATTTGAGAGTAATATAGCCAAACTGGCAAGGATAATTTTACTATTTTAGTCTACAGATTGAAATTCACTCAAATGTCCTTCATATAGTAAATAACTCTGAATGTCACTTTGCTGCTTCACCTGTGTTACATGTTAAAGAGTATCTGAAACATGGCTTAATTCTGAAAGCATGGCATGCCCTGGGACAAATGAAATTTAAATTATAAATCTTTAATTTAAAAGTAAACATTTGAAACAAATTAAGATTTCTGTCTGAAATAAAAATTATGTCAGTAACAAAAAAATATGTTTTCTTCTTGAATGGTGGTGTTTAATATTGCTTTTTATTTTCTTCTGCCCTAAAGAGATATTTCAACGAGGAATGCAAATTCAAGGAGACACTCCTACCAAACAATTACAATGCCTATGAATCCAGAAGATATCCTGGAATGTACATAGCTCTCAATAAAAATGGAAGGACAAAAAAAGGCAACAGAGTTTCCCCAACAATGACATTGACACATTTCCTGCCTCGGATCTGACATTTTTGGGCTAATCCCTTGATCGGTGTGGGAAGAGAGAATGCACTGCACTTTCAAAACAGTTTACTGCAAGAGCTGGTGTAACATATCTAAGTTAATAATTTAAGTTTGTATATATAGTTCAAGGAAAGTTTATTTATAGTTGTTTTTTTTTTTGTTGTTAATGCTATTCTGTTCCTTTTCTAGAACAGAGCATCCATCCCTTATAGGTTTTGCTTAGTGTATTAACTCACAAACTGCTGGATAGGGCTACAACATGTTGCTATGCAATGTACAGTTAGCCGTAGCAGGAAAAACATAATTAACCCTTGCTGAGCTGCTATTCATTTCTCACACAGTTTGTACTGTTTACAAGCTGCCCAGAAGCAGCAGATAAGATGAAACAAGTGTTAGAGTGATGCTTACTCTACTCTTTTACTGTTAAAATGAAGCAGTGTCAGTTTTCTTCTGGTACAGAAAGTGCAGTGCAAGAGGTGTCCTCCCAAAATCTGTTTTTAGATCTGTCACTGTTGAACTCTGAACTTTGCTGCAGTCAATCTTTGCTGTGTCTCCACAGAGCAAATGTCTTTTAACCCATTCAATGCCAAAGGGTCTGGCACTTAACAGGCCAACAGACTGACATCACGACAACAAAGTGACATTAGTGCTCTGAAGTCAAAGAAAGCCTTTCTTTCAAACAAATATTTCAACGTAACAAGCCAGGACGTCATCTACACTACAATGTATCTAATTTAAAAAATGAATATCACTTTCAGTCTGAAAAAAACAGCAGGATAATCATTTATTGGAGGGGGGAAAAAGTTATTTTGGCTAACGTATGTGATATGTGCTCCGGTATGTTTTGTCTACATACTGCTACACAAACATCGTTATTTGCAGACCTGATAATGTCTCACAATAGAGGATTGAATCGCCCAGCTGTACATGTGGAGGAAACAAAATGCTTTTTCAAATGGGAGAATGCTGCTGTTTTCGTTTGCTCATTCCCATTACAGTTTTTGTTCACGTCTACCTCAGTATCAATGCACATCTCCCAGTAGAAGTGGTACTGTTTTAAGTGTGCCTTGGATTTGCAGCAGAATGTGTACTGCTTTAATAGAGCCTCAAGACTGTGTATTTTCCCATATGTGGCCAAATATATTCTAGGTAGAAGCGAGTGCTGTCTATTTCAGCCTGGTCACGTTTGAGCTATCTTTACCCTGTGGCTTACTTTTAGTAAGGGTAATCATGGTAAAAATATTTGCAGGCAGCTGTTGAGCTGCACTATATGGTCATCAAGTAACCCTATATTTTTTCACTATATGCTTTGCTATCATGGCCCATGTTATTGAGGAATGAAGCATTCATAAAATCAAACCGCCTTAAACTGCTACCAGCATGAGAATAGCTTTTTTATAATCCCTTCAATCCTGAAGGGGTTTATGTATCTGTCCTGAACGTTTTTATATCATTTGTCACCATGACAAGATCCATATGTAAGATATGCTACTTTGTTGCTAAATTCTTTTCTACATTCCGCTTAAATCTTTCTTCCAATAACTGAACCCACAGTTTATTTTTTGTGACACTGCCGTTTACAGCATGTGGTGAGATTTAGAGCTACAATTCTTTCAGTTTACAATTTAACATTTCTGTCTGTCTCTCCGCTAATTGTTTCTAAATGAAAACCGTTAATGCTTTTATCTCTAACATATTGCAAAATCTAAATCAGGTCTGCCTTCAGTGGGGGAAGGCAATGCTGCCATACTAAACCCCAATATTTTAGTAACCCCAGAAATCAGATCAATGTGCCAGTATTGGGTTCTGTTTTTTCTTGCCCCAGTCTTAATCTAAAGGATACAAGTTATGTTGGGTGAATTGCTGTTAATTGGGATTCTTATAAATAAAACATTATTTACAGGTTAAAACTGCACTTAGGTGCAGATACAGGATTAACCCTTCAAGGGGGAGTGGTTTACAATATTCCATAATTTGTCTGTAGTTTTATACAGGTGCTCATCAATATCTTGATGTATGTGCTGTGCACAACTGATGCATAATAAATAATAAAATGTTTACACTGTATGGCTGTCTTTTTCTCACAGAGATGAAAGCATTCATTTGAGCCAAATATGACCAACCCCTTGACCCCCATAAACAATGTTGTATTGCAGTTTATGCTAGATGCTATCTGAGAGTATTCTAAATGTTTGGTTTACTACATGTGTGTATGCAAACTAAAGCACTGTCCTGTTCTTTGATTTCACACAACGTGTTACTAGTCACATTTCAAAGTGTTGCAATATACATATGCCAATTACAAGTCTATTTCCAATACCAAGAGGTGTTAGTTCGTACCTCCCAAAGTATTATCTTCATAAAATAATAGGAAAGCATCAATACAAATCACATTTACTTATACTATAATGTACCAGATTTTATTAGTTTGATGGGATTTATGGATTTTTATTTAGCCTTTTTTTGGTCTGAAAAAATAAGGTTTTAGAAAAAAGAAGACATCTAATGGTAAGTATGATTATTTTTAATTTATATGTATTAAGATTATTGCCCCACAGTCACTATTTTTAGGTGAAGGGAGATAGGTAGGATTTTATTTTATTGGGGGTGGTTACTAGGGGCTTGGGGACCTCTAGACACCTGGGAAGGGTATTTTTACATTTATCCCCACCTGTCGCCAATGGATGGGGCTGGGAGGGACAATAGGTTTCCCCCTATTGTCACTTAGGGCTCCCACCCTGCTGCTCATGGGGGCAGGAGGTGCGAGGGAAAGGCAGTTGGTTAGTATTAGTAAAGTTGGCTGAAAGACCAGTTTTGGTCTTTAGTAGAAAGCTCCCTAAAACTGTGGGAATTAGGGGCCTATCTACTAAGCCGCAGCAAAACGTACCAAATTTCATCCTAACATGGATAATAAAACTGTACACATTCTATTACGATGAAATTCAGTGAATTCATCGAACAGCGAATTAAGCAACGTGAGAACACAGGAGGAGAAGTGAGTATAGTGGGACAGTTTCTTTGACCAACAACAGAAAATGGAGCGGACTTAAGCTCCTCCTTTGGTCAAAGAAGGTCAAGTGTAGGAAAAATACATTTAGACAAAGAAGTCTCTACTTTGTCTTGTATGTTAAAGAAAACTAGATCAGATAGGAAAAAAAGAAGAACAGATTCTGAGAGAAGAAGATAAGAGGAATTGATTTGGGTAAGTTAAAAAATAAAATGTATCTTAATTTATATAAACTGATTACTATTCTGTAAACTATTCCAGAAAATATAGAGTTTATTAGACACATACATACACTAGCAAAAGGTCACTGGTCTCTTTAAAAGTGTTGACACTACCAAGATCCCTCAAAACTCTTAAAATTTTGTTATTTGTACTTCAGCGTTAACTGATTAGCAGGTACTTCATAAAGTACTTATGTTAAGCTAAAGTGCATTTTTTAAGAGGATGTAGTGTGAAACATAACAGAGGTCAGTGATGAATAAGAACTTATTACAAGTCTCATATGATGTTATATACAGATAGCCATGCACTAGGATAGAGCCTGAGAAAATATGAAAACATTTCAAATGCTGAAATACATGTCTCACTGCAACACATAAATAAATTATACAAATAGCATAATATTCCTCACAAAAGGTTTCATAAACACAATTTTAAATCTACTGGTGCAACACAAGAAAATTGATATACATCACTGTACACTGAATGCTGTGGAAAAATCATTAAACATAATGAAAATGTATAGCTTTAATAAAGCAACAGTGATGGACAAGAATAGCATTAAAGGGACACTATACTCATAAGCTTAATGTAGTGGTTCTGGTGTCTATATCATGTCCCTGCAGGCTCAGCAATGTAAATGCTGCCTTTTCAGAGGAAAAAAAAAAAAGGATTATAGCCAATGGTTGATCAGTTAATAAACAAATAAAACGGTGTTGCAGATCAATAGAGTTCGGTAATAAACGCCAAAATATCTAATGCTCTTGAAAATACTATGTTGCGTTCTTTGTTTGGACAGTGAAAAATTTATACTTTTGATTGTGACAAATATTATCTATAGGCTTTCTGAGTTGCCTGACACAGCAAACCATCTACCACTCACCAATGTTTGCAGAGGTTATCATATGTCCCACAGTGAATGGGATAATTCATTACATCACACTAAGCTGGCTGCAGACAATGACCAATATCTAATAGTGAGTATAAGTAATAAAATAATTAATGCCCACCAAGACAATTTGCTGGTTTGCACAGCTAAAGCATGTGCTATTACAGACCTGGGTAAAACAAAATCTTCAAGATCTCAAGACACTGATGGTCCTTAGTGAACATATGGTAGAAACTTCTCAGCAAAACAAAGGGAAATCAAAGCACAAGCTGCTCATAAAAACAAAGGAATACACTGTTGTGATTATCTAAATATATGTTGTGTTCTAGAGAGCGTTTCTGGATTTGTTAACAGTTTTACAGTAAGGAAAAGTTCTACTGGAACAAAGGGAAACCAATATAATGGCTCATTGGTCTAGGCGTAGAGAGCGTTTCTGGATTTGTTAACAGTTTTACAGTAAGGAAAAGTTCTACTGGAACAAAAGGAAACTAATATAATGGCTCATTGGTCTAGGCGTATGATTCTCGCTTCAGGTGCAGGTCCCAGGTTCAAATCCTGGATGAGCCCAAGTTTGGTGTTTTAGGAACTGAATAGTGGCTTAGATACAGGAATGCAGGCCTCAGGTTAAAATCCCCTGTTAGGCACCTTTGGAACAACCACATCTGGATGTCAGGGTGAGAACTGTGACAGAGGGACACTCAATATTATAGATTCTAAGTTAATTTGAGAATTTATCATTTGTGTGGTGAGATAGCTCAGTGGACTAATGCTTCATCAGAATCTTCATCTCTTGGGGCTCACATGTTCAATTCCCTGCAGGGCTGATGTAAATAAAATGTGTGCAATTAAAATGGGTAAAAGTAACATCCCCATGATGCACCTGGAAACCAGAAAATATCTGAATGTATCTCTCCTGGTTCAAGATTTTATGGAATAGCCTTCCAGCTGAAGTGGGTAGAGGTTAACACAGTAAAGGAGTTTAAGAATGCTTGAGATAGGCATAAGGCTATACTAACTATAAGATAAGGCTAGAAAATTGGGCAGACTAGATGGACCGAATGGTTCTTATCTGCCGTCACATTCTATGTTTAATATACTTTTCAGAAAGCCTGAAATTAAAACTGACTTCTACTTGACTATCTGTCCACTGTGAAAAGGTTATCCATTGCAGTGACCTGGCTACTGCTGCTATAATAAACAATCCATTAAGGGTGGTGGTCTTATACTATCAGCGGGGACCAAATAAAATTACATCATGGCCCCCCAAGTTCTTCTATATTGTTCTAATATAATATGATTTATTTTGTCTCCCAATCTCATCTGGTAAAATAAAACTGCACTTTAAAATGATGTACAACATAACTTCCACTTTTGATCACCATCCAAAAATAGTGTCAATAAATTTCTGGATAAACTAAATTTACAATCACCCCATTGCTATCAAAGATGTTTCAAAATTTCTCTACTGGAGGTATTCCAGATGAGATGTTATAAGCCATCATATCTCCAATCTTAGAAACAGGAAAAAAATGTTCTTTGCCACCTACACACCTAGTTCATTAACCAATTTAGATGTAAAAATATTATCAAAAATTATAGCTAATAGATAAAAAAACACTAATCCCAAAAATTATCCACATGGGCCAATCAGGATTTGTCATGAATAGGAACTTTATAGATAATACACGTACAATAATAAACATCCTTTGAGGAGTCGACTGATTTAAAATAGGTATAGCCCTTGATACCGAAAAAGCCTTTGATAGAGTCAGTTGGAATTTTTTAGATTCGGTTCTCGATAGTTTTGGTCTGTCTGGCTCTATGACAAAAAATATTATGTCTCTATATACTAATCCAACAGCCAAAGTTGTCGGACCCCTATTTGAATCAAGTTGGTTTGCAATTTCCAACAAGACTTGTCAGGGTTGCCCTCAGGCACCCCTGTTTTTTAATTTTTCAATTGAACCTTTTGCTCTTTCGAACAGAGTGCGGGGAAAATATGGAAACATCAATACCTGCTAATGCCATCTCCTATTTTACCCAACATGGGGGATGACACCGGTAGATGTGGTTTGCCAAAAAAATAAATAAATAATTGATGCATATCTGGGTGGCGAAGAGTAGCGGTTCTCGCTTCATATTCCTGTAAACATCGAGCAGGGCATAGGTTCGGTCTTACAGGAAATGACGGGTAGGCAGTAGAACGAGAAGATGTCTTAGACCTACGAGAAATAAATCGAAAAGGACACCTTCAGGAGTGAATGAGCGGGCATCGATATTCAATACTCTCACATCTGAAACCCTTTTACATGAGATTAAGCAGAAAAGAACCACCAACTTTGCAGACAGTTGTGTAAGTGACAATCCCTCATTATGCCAATTCTCAAGAAAAGATAAGACAACATTAACATCCCACAATGTAGAGTAACGAGGTTTGGGGGGTCTAGAGAGACAGATGCCTGGGAGGAGTCGACATATATACGGATGTCGTCCAACAGTGGTACCTTCAATAGCCTCATGGCCCGCTGAGATAGCCGACTGATATAGGTTAATGGTACGATATGCTTTACCAGAGTCAAAAAGGTAGGTAAAAAATTAAAAAATCGTGGTTACAGGTGCTGAAACGGGATCCAGATGTTTGTCCAGGCACCAACCAGACCATGCATTCCAAGCAGATCAATAAGCATGTCGCGTTCTGGGTGCCCATGCATTCACGAGAAGTTGCAGAGTCGTCTGCAAAACTCCCACGATGTTCCAAGGTGCCCGGAAATCTGCCAAACCAGGAGTCGTAATTAAGGCCGGACAGGGAAAAAAATTTGGCACGGGCATTTTCCAATCACAGAGGCCCCCTGAGAAGGGGGCGGGACCAGAGAGGTTGTGTTTTGTTATCACTAATGACAAGCATGCCCCCTCTCACAGTGAGTATGTTGGTTCAATGCGCAGAGCCCCGCTGAAGAGCTCTAGCATGAGAAAAGGGCCCTGTATTTGTTGTGCACAGTGCAAACACATTTAATAACATGCTTGTACTGTGTTTGCTTTTAACTTGTCTCTGGTGTCTCCATAAGTGGGATACCATAGGACAAAAGGACCAGGAAAGCGTATCGTGCATGTGTTTGGAGCTTGCTTGTGGGATTGCGTGTGGTTAGAGTGAGCTGATTGTGGTGTGGTATTGTGTAAATAGGCCAATTTCATTTGTGTTTGTGGTGTAATATGTGTCTCTAGGGGCTTTAGAGAGTGTGTGTATAGGGGATGTAGTGAGGGTGTGTGTGTATAGGTGACGTACTGTGTGTAGGGGTTGTAGAGAGTGTGTGTTTAGATAATGTAGTATGTGCTTGCTTACAAGTGTAGAGTGTGCATATGGGATCCAGAGTTTGTATGTCAGGAATGTAGTTTGTATAGGTGGTGCAGTGTGTGTGTGTGTGTGTGTGTGTAGGGGATCTAGTGTGTAAAGGACCCAGAGTGTGTATAGGAGATTGTGTGTGTGTGTAGAGGATTCAGAGTGTATATAGTGATCTAGTGTGTGTATGTGTGTGTATGTAGATTAGATGATCCAGAGTTGGGTAAGGGATCTAGTGTGTATCTGGAGTAATGTGTGTAGTGGTGCAGTGTGAGGGGTGCTGTAGTATATATAGTATTGTATGTGTGAGGGGCGCAGTATCTTGGGTGTGCTGTGTGTATGTGTGAAGCACGTGTATGTGTGTGAGGGGTGCAGTGTGTGTGTGAGAGGGGTGCTGTGTGTATGTGTGAAGGTTGCAGCATGTGTGTGTGTGAGGGGTGCAGTGTGTGTGTAAGAAGGGAGCAGTGCGTGTGTAAGAGGGGTGCTGTGTGTGTGAGGGTGTTGTGTGAGTGTGCTGTGTGTATGTGTGAAGGTTGCAGCATGTGTGTGTGTGAGGGGTGCAGTGTGTGTGTAAGAAGGGAGCAGTGTGTGTATAAGAGGAGTGCTGTATGTGTGAGGGTGTTGTGTGTGAGTGTGCTGTGTGTGTAATGGTGCTGTGTGTATGTGAGGGTGCTGTGTGTATGTGTGAGCGTGCTGTGTTTGTGAGGGTGCTCTTAGTGTGAGTGTGCTGTTTGTGTGTGTGAATATGTTTGGAGGGATTTTGAGTGTGTGTGTTGGGGGGGATAGATTTTTTTAATAAAAAAACAACTTTATATCCCCCCCACAGCCCCCTTCTTTCTTACCTTTAGCCTGGGAGGGGGGCTGGTGGCCGCATGTCTGTGCCTGTGGGCCGGTGAGGGAGATCTTTTATCTCCCTACGGGCCCATGAAGGCACACAGCAGGGCCAGCGCTCGGATAGTGCTGGCTCGTGATATCCCTTGCCAACCTCGGCCCGTGGCCATCGCGGCCCACCAGGCATTTGCCCGATGGCCAGTCTGGGCCTGGTCGTAACAGACCCTGAAGGACCAACAGATGAGGCTTACCGTCTGGATCCAATAGGAGAGACTGGGCTGCAGGCAGTAGTATCGGGAAGTCGATGGTCATCTCCAGAAGTTGAGGGAACCATGGTTGGGACAGCCAAAAGGGTGTCACGATGACCAGAGTCCCGCAATAACGTCTGAGATGTAGCAGACAACAAGAAAGGAAAGGAAACACATAACTGCTCGTGAACAACCTGTCTTGTAAATATGCATCTGTTGCTAGAGCCTTCGGATCCAGTCTCCAGCTGAAAAATTTGGGGAGTTCAGTGTTTAATCGTGATGCAAAAAGGTTGATCTCAAGTGGGCCCCAAATATCCGAAACTTAGTAGAGGATCCAGTCGCCAGTCGCTAAGGTGACACAAGTTCAAATCGGCTGTCGTGTTGGAGAGGCTGGGAATATATTCTGCTGTCCCCGAGATTCCGAGATGTAGGCAATATTGCCAAGAATTGAGGGCCATGTTCGCTAAAATCCTGGAGCATGTGCCGCCTAGGCGGTTGATGTACCGATACATTGTCCATCCTCAAGAGGATAGAACATTGAGAGCTTGTTTGGGAAAAGCATCTGACTGCAAATGAGCCGGCCAGAAGTTCCAGACAATTGATGTGGTAGCCTTTTTCTTCCTTGGACCACCTTCAGCTCGTGGATATATCTCTGCAACGTGTGCCCCAACCATGTAGACTCACGTCGGATTCTACAATCACATCTGAAGTCGTGCCGAAGAAAGTGTGTCTGTTCCATGCCTCCCTTTGAGTTCCTCTTCCACATTCCACATCCACATCCAAGAGCTGACATTGTGTCTTTGTAAGAGGCACCTGCTCGGAGGTAGAATGTTTGAAGGCGTTGCAGTGCCCTGTAGTGAAGTGGTCCTGGAAAAATTGCCTGGATAGATGCTGCTAGAAGACCAACCATATGAGCCAGTTGTTAGAGAGATATCTGTGGGGTGTGAAGCAAGCAAGACACTTCCTCATTTATAGACTTTATTCTGGAAATGGGTAGTTGAAGAGTCTGCGTGGTCGAATCTATCCGCAACCCTAAAAATTCTACGTGTTGCATGGGTGAGAGAACAGATATCTCCTCGTTGATTATGAACCCCAGATTTTGGAGGAGGTTCATGGTCCTGGTCAGGTGTAGACGCAATGTCCTTTGGGAG